ATTCATTTTGAAATTCCTCACGAGAAAAATGGCAAAATTAATGAAATACTTTTCTCAGTTCATAGAGCAATATAAGGAAACGATTCAAGCATCTTGAGTAGAGCCAAACGACACTTCGTTCGTAAAACCGTGAGCAGAATATGGTTGATCATTTAAAGAAATTAAATAACATTTTAAGTATTTCAAAGAAAAGCAGATAAATGTTAGTAATATTTTTGATCACATAGGATCAATTTTGATGATGCAGATTTTAAACAAGATAAACGATCAAGACGTAATTGGTTTCTAGAAAAACTAAAGAATTTACAATGTCGTGTGACGTGAGTAGTAACTGTCACGAATTTGCTCCCAATCGAAAGGTGCTGAACTAACTGAAAAATAATCCACAATGAGAAAGTGAAGAAAACAGAGGATGAGTATCATCCCCTATAACAAATAATTTTTACAATCAAATTGACCACAAAAGAAAGAAATTGACTTCTGCGAAAAAATCGTTTCAGATCCTCGGTATGGCATACAATACCGTAAACCATCATCGAAACAACACCTGCGCCAAGCATCGCCATTGGATAGATTTCAGCTTTACGGGCAAAACTTGACAATAATGATCTGAATCAGATGCTTTCAAGCAAATGAAATGAATGCCTTCAATCATAACAGATTTATATCATCTCTGCGTTATCTTGGCCATGGATAAAAGTGAATAACTTTGAACATACTAGACACATTCTAGGTTTCAACTGTTACAGATTTTGAAACAGGATTGGATTTTGTTCAAAACAGAAATAAGATTAACAGTCACAATGCATCCATCAATCGCAAATCACTCAGGAAATTAGAAATACTACAGTTGTTTTGAACTGTTATCACATACCCGCAACTGTTTCTGGTAAAAGGGATATTTTTCTGTACTTCTTCATTAATTTGTNATACTGACACTATATTAAGATCATCCTGCACACCCCTTCTTACTGTTTCAACCAAATCACTGGCAGATCTCTCGACTTCATCAAGTATGAAGGCTATATCAGTATGCAAACAGTCCAAGTTATAGTTTTTCGCATTTGGTTTATCGTTTGCATACCCTTTGCGCCTCCATCAGCACATTCTTTGGGATTTACTCTGACAATACATAACAACAAGAAAGATAAGAGATACTTTTGCATTTTAAAACATTAATATAAATTAATTTCTTCGAAACCTCTTCGGAGCATCTTTTAACGGTTCCCATTTCTTGCTCATTTTTTCGAATGATACAAGCGATCCTGAAAATCACAGTGACTGATCGGAATTTTATGAAAATTTTCCATGGTTTGACTCATTAAATTCGTTGGCTATGGTATCGAACTGAAGCTGAAATGGATGGAAAGGAAATTTTGCATGATAATGTGACATAATTGAACTCTGATCTTCTGATTTACAAGCATCGATCGCACTTCCGCACGATGAACTAACTCAAACATTATCAAACTGAGCACGACGTTCAATCACACACAATTCGTACATCATAAATCCTTATTCCAGAAGCACCAATTGAACACCTAACACCTAGAGGCACATTCCATGGCACGAAATGAAACAGAACATCGCAGAATTTTGCGAATGACTTCTAGTGGATATGTGAAAGGAGAACACACAACTCCTTTCACAATTTCAAATAATGAAGGGAAGTTCGGCAAATAAAAACGAACACTTGCTACAAATGTGTTTTCTCAATAATTCTTGCTGCGAATCCACTCATGCTGCTACGAGAACAGTAACGTGTAACTTGTGCGCATGTATAATAACAGTAATCCGGTTGCACTTTCTCACCTCCCTAAGTACAAATCTGAGCCTAAGCTTCAACATGCAGGCCACGTTTGTGTCACGCCGAAACACAACAGCTACCACTCGTATACCCGTAGCGACATTACAGATTACCGAGAAGAACGCCA